GGGGGGGAGCAAGGGGTCTTCTTTAAAAAAAGAAAGTTTTTTAAGAAGTTCGGAGTAGAAAGAATCTGCGTAGACAGCCTTCCTGTAGATTCCTGTGTGCTCCTGCGGGCAGGCCCCGGGTGCCGATGGCCGTAGGGCAGAGCGGTGCCCGCTATTCACGCGGCACAGCTGGCGTGGGAGCATTACTTGTCGCGCCCCCTCTTGTTGAATTTTACGCTTGTTAATTGAGGCAGGGTCAATAGGTGGGGAAGGCGGGAGGTTGAATTTCTCCCCGGGAGCCGAAGGCACCAGGGGAGGCTGGCGGGGGGGGTTTAAGCTGGACTGGGCTTGTTGTCGATTCCCGCGGAGAAGGAAGTTAGAGCTTCAAATATTATTGAATGCTGAGAGACTGTTTGGGCAACATACCTTTTGTAAATGAAACATTCTTGATTTAGTGGTTAAACAGCAAATATTTACTCTTCCCCCTGCGGAAGTGTTGCATAACGTTCTATTACTTAAACAAACCTGAGCTTATTGCGAGTGTGACGGATTGGATTTCGTGCCGCGCTCTCGGTACTGCCGTCCTTCTTGGCAAAACGGGACCGTCACGGGGCAGCGGCAGGGTTTGACGCTCGGCTCAGTCCCCTCTTGCCCCAGAGTTTTTGCTGAATTTCAGCAGTTGGGATTTTACCAAAATTTGTTGTCAGAATTGAAATGCCTTCTAGCGAAGTTTCTAGACCCGCTCAGAGGGCTGTGAGCCAGCAGGACAGTTTCAGAGCATCGGCTCAATTTGCTTTTCCCAAACAGCAGGAACTATGTGTGTACGTGAGGTCAATCTTTGTGAGTATTTTTGATATTAAAACAACGTTATGCAAAAGGTTCCTGATGGAAGGCACGGGGCTTGATTAAAGCTCTGGTTTTCCAATTTGGTTCCACATCTCTTCTTGTTAATGATTTTCCCAAATGCTTTGGCTCAAAGGTTTTTTTGGTTTATTTGTGTGGGTTTGTGTATGAAGTTTTCCTGCAGGTGTAACTCAGATTTCAGCATGTTTATCAGGAAACAGTGAAAGGATTATATACAAGTAAGGTTAAAGTAAGTGTTTGTAAAATTTAATCTTTCAAGACTTGGTGCTAATTTATGTTACTAATATTTGTAAATGGTTCTTTCCAAGGCCTGCTTGCAAAGGTCCCTGTTCCCAGAGGAAGGAGAGGTAGCTCTTCTACCTCTCTGCCCAGGCAGCCTTCAGAAAGAGGGAGCTGGAATGTGACCTTTGTGTTTTAGTGTCCTCCTGTGCCTGCCTCAGTACACCAAATGTGTCTTCAGGAGGGAGAAAAACCTCAGGAGTGCACCCAGACCTTTCCGTGAGGGGAGTGAGGCTGGTGGAGTGCGTTCATACGGTGCTGGCTGATTAAAATGCAGCGCTTCCAGCAGCTTCTTGCCTCTTCAGGGTTTCCTGCCTTCCTCTTCCATACCTTGCTGAGCTTTTGCTTTCTAGTTTTTCCCCTCACTTTGTGTCCCGTTTTTGCCTTCCGTGGCTTCCTGTGCTCCTTCAGCCCTGTGCTGTTTATCCTGTTGTAAACCCCGTGGGTTTTGAAAGGCAAGTCTGTCCATGGGCTGGCGCCTGCCTTGGCCCCGGTTCTTGGGGTGCAGCTCCTGCCCTTGGCCGGGGGCGATGCTGGTACCGAGGAGGCGCCGGGTGAGCACGAGCCAGCTCCCAGACTCGGCTTTCTGCAGGTTGGTTGTAGTGCTGAGAACATCCGAAGTACTGAAAACTGTATAAACGGGGGGGGGTATTTTTCCCAGGCTTGACTGACAATATCCATCTCTCCTTAGTTATATTGCAGTTGAATTTGATGCTGTAATTCTAGTGAAAACCAGGGGAGGAAGGAATTGATGACAGGTCTAAACCAAAGGAATCTGACAGGGAGCAATGGTCTAGTGGTGCTGTTGCACTTGTCATAGTTAAAAGCAACACAGTGAAAGTCATGCAGGAACACACCAACTGCGGGAAAAAGTTGAAGCCACTGCACCGCTCTAGTGCTAAAGGCTGCTTTTAAAATAGTTCCTTCTGTGCACCTTCGGAGTTTGACCAAATTCTCCTGTCTTGTGTGGTAGCTGGGTGCTTTACGCCACCCGCCAAGGGAGGGCTGGAAAAGAGGAGCCTGTGAAGTAGAGGAGCTGCTCTTCTTGGCTGAGGGAAGAAGACTTCGAAGTGCTGAGCACGGTGGAGAACGTGCAGCGGGAGAAATGAGCAGCTAATTGTGTAAACCAGACCTTCTCCTCCAGCACCCAGGCTTTCGTGAAGAAGAATTGTGCTATCAAGTCTTCCCTAAAACGCACCATTTGCAGTTTCACACAACTCTGTAAATTGAACAACTGAATTGCGTTCAGTTAGAAAATGTCAACAAACTGTCTGCTGCGTGAAAAGGATCAGAAATCTTACAAGTAGTGCATTATTGGTGGGGATGGTGATACCCAGCAGCCAAGTTTTGGCTGTGTTTGTATTTCTTACCATTTTAGAAGGGTTTGTAGAGCTTGTCACAGCAACAAAGTATTTATCACAAATATTCCAAGAAAAGAGGCTGGATTCAGAAAGGAGGCTAGAGCAGGATTATTCCGGTGATCATCCTTGACACTACAACCATTCCTAGGATTTCCTCCTCCTTCCTGCTTTTCTCACTCCTCCGGTTGTGCCCGCAGGCAGCTCTCCCAGCTCCTGGTTCACGTTCTTTACCTTCACCCAAACCGTTGCCCCTTTCCTCGCATCCCCTGCTCAGCCCCAGGGCTGCTCCTGGGTCTGCCCATGCCCTAAAGCGTCCTCTGCCCTGAAGGACCGGGGCTGGCGCCGGAGCCGAGCGCTGGCATCCAGCGGGACCCTGCTGGGGGAGCTGGCCCTGCTTATCTTATCGTAGCCACCCTCCTTTGGTGTTTAGAGATCTGCTCCTGCTGCCAGGAGACCTACAACTGTAATTGTCCAAATATTTCTAGAAAACAGACCAAAAGCTGTCGGGTTTGCTTATATTGCTGCTTGTTTACTGACTGCAAATGCCAGCAACGAAGTTTGACTGTGAGAAGTGGTGTCCCAGTCCATCAGGTGTTTGGATCAGGGGTATTTCTTTGCAGTTAATTCTGCAAGATGGAATTTATCGGTTTTGTCTGTGGCCAGAGGTCAGCAAGTAAAAGAACCTAAGACTTCAAGGGAACTTCATTCCCCCACCTACAGCCCAGGGCTTGGCAGAGCCAAATCAATACATGAGAAAAATAAATATGTAAAATAAAAAGGATTTCTTTTGAGTAAATCTACAGATATCTTGACTTTCAATTTTGTCTATAATAATTTTTAAGCAAAGCGAATTATTGGAAGAGCCTTTTTTTTGCAGAGGGGCTGTGTTTCAGCAGAGCTGTCAGGGCTGAGAGGCAGCGAGGCGCTGGAGCGGGCGCCGCTCTCCTGGCGGGGAGGGCTGGGACCCCAGCTCTGGGCTGGACCGAGGCACTCGGTCCTGCTGCCTGCGAGCGGCGCCGCGGGTCACCCGGCCGTTGTTAGCTGCCCCCAAAGCAGCTGATAATTACGTTGTGATCTTGGCCGTTTGTTTTGTACGGAAGCGCCGATTTGTAACATTTAAACACCTTTTACCTCTCTTGTGAGGTAGTTAAGACAACGGCCATCCCTAAGTTATTACTTCGTAATAATGGGTTTATAAAACTCGTGTTTGTGACTTTATAGGCTTATTCTTTATATTTATTTCCGATATAGAATGTCTGCAAATCAGCAGTTGATCAACACCCATTCAGCCACTTCTGTATTCCCCAATTATACGTTATATTGATAAACCGCGGTAGTTAAATGGTCTGCAGATCGAAGTTCACCTTCTGGATCACACGAGATTTAAGAACCAGTTAAAAAGCGGGGGGGAGGGGGATTGTTTGGAGAGCACAGGCTCGCTGTGTGATTTGCTGTTGTGCGCTTTAAAGTTTTATGGCCCGTGTTGCATCCCTTGGGAGGATAAAGTGCGAGGAGCATGAAGAAATCCATAAAATTACGAAGGGTTTATGTGGTATAATTAATATGGAACTTTCCATGAACTTTATAATAGTTGTACTTCCTTAATTTTACGCGAGTTTCTGGTTTGTAATAAGTAATCTTCAAGACTGCTAATGGAACTTAAATTTTGGATTTTCGCACTGAATTGTAGAAGATACGTCGTAGGCTGCTGTGTCTCAGTGTCTGGCCTCCTTACTGTAGCTTTCAGAATTGGCTGGGCATGCCTTGGGAAGTGTTTTTGAGCTGTGGCCAGCTTTGCACTAAAAAAACCCCATGTCGATACAGCTTTACTGGCAAATCCTCCTGGTGCAAGTGCAGCTTTGCTTGCAAAAGCACTTTTTATTGACACTGGATGGGTTTGCAGATCACAATGTCATAAGTCGCACCCATAGCAAAAAATAATACGAGAAAGAAAGTTCAAGTACAAGCCTGGCCCGGATTTGCACAGTAAAATCAAATCAGCATTGTGAAATTGCAGCTCCTTTTTTTAACTACAGAGGAAATTTTAGTTCTAAATAAATGTAAAATGTTCCCTGTGGAGCGTGCTGGCTGCTCTCTAAGTTGGACGTGGATGCTGAGCTGTGTTGGTGCTTACTCCTCTGACGAGCAGAAGACTCTGGTAGGGGAGTGGGTCCATCAGGTTGACTAGAAATGACAGATTTGATTGAAACAAAGGACAACCACCTTTTTCTTCTTTTTTTTTTTTTTTCCTTTTTTTTTCTCCACCTCCCTAAAGATTTATGGGGTTTATTTCTAAGGGTTGTGATGTTTTTTGTGAGGAACGTGTGTCGTGAAGCAACGGTTGGTTTGGAGGAACATGACCTCTCGGTAGCCGCTCTGTCGGTGGCGATGACGGATCCTATTCCAAGGTCAAACCTGGTTTAGAGGTCACTGAATTCAGGATCAACTTCCCATACTGTAGTTGTTGTGTGTTGCTCCGACCTTGTGGCTGGAGGATTCTTTAGTGAAGATTGAGGCGCTGGCAGTCGTTGTTTTCCATGTTGGGGATTTTTTGGAATGAAGAGATGTGGTCGCCGACCATGGAAAAGGGCAGCACACGTGAGGTGTAGTCACGCTGCAGGATGGTGAAAATGACCTTCCTTTGCCGTAATACCGCAAAGGGTGGGACGCAGACAACAGGAGTTGGAAGGTTTGGCGTCAGCAAGATCTGATGACTTCTACCAAAACATTTTTAAGGAATCTATTATCCATAGGCAGTTTCTGGATTAATAATACTGATAATTGATGACAGTGGAAGAAAGTTAATAAAAAGAGCTGAATAATTAGAGGTCTGCCAGCCCTGCAAAATAATGGAATGAATGAATGATAGAGGACTTGACTGATACGGAGGTAAGGGGAAGTAATACAATTAATGTCAATTAAAATGTGCCCATGGAAAATAAGCTGATGAGATGTAACTGGGGATGTAGTTTGGCTGATAAAAGCAGTAATGTGTGCTGTAAAATACTTTGCTGCCTTAATGAATTGAATGTAGTGCAATGCAATATTTTGAATGAGAAATGAAAACGGCATAAAATTAACGTAGGGAACGTTAAGTAGGTACCAGCTACGTGTGACACGGGTGGGAAGGGCCGGGGCTGCTGCCTGGCAGGAGCCTGCCTGGCTCCGGTCTTTGCCCCGGGCAGGTGAGTGTCTGTGGGTACCCCCGGAGTCGGGACACGTGTGTTGGGGAGGACTTGAGCCGGTGGGAGATAACAAAGGTGACGGCCACGCGTGCAGAATATCGACTGGGAAAACAGCGTGCCCAAAAAACCCCGTGGAGTGACGCTCTGAGATATTTGATGTCAAGCTTGAAATCCTGGAGCGGTACACAAAAAAATAATGGAGAGAACCCTTCTTCTTTATCAGTTCAGCAAAGATCAATAATGCCCGAGTGCTCACCCACCCAGGAAGAAGTACAAGACCGGCAACCCTGTTGATTTAGTCTAATGCAGCTGTACAGTAAAGTTCCCAATAACTCAGGGAGCGCCCAGGACTCATAAATTATAGAGCAGCTCACGTTTATCATACACATCGCTGCTTATCTTGTAAGCTCATCTGCTGTGCTTGCACGAGTAGTTGATTTAACAGCATGTATATTGTTGAACTTGACACATCCAAGAGTATAATCAAGCTTTAAAAATACTAGGGATGTCTGGCAGCTGGTTTGCTCTCTTCGCCCACTTTCCAGAACGACTGCGGGCTGGGTTCTCGCTGCTTTGCTGCAGGTCATGGGGAATTTCTGTAGTGGATGCAATTGCAGAGGAGTTTTATTGTGATGCTGGCATCTGTTGAATGACATAAAATGATTAGATGTGTAAAAGGAAAAGAGTTAATATCCTTTTCCTGTACGCTTCCAAATGGGAAGGGGCTATAAATTCAAGTCGCAGTGGGCAAGCGTACCTCTCGTGGGCCACCGCCCCGCGCCTGGCGGGCGCCGCTGGGACTGGTGGAGGCAGGCTGAGGTGGGTGCTGGAAGGAATCCCAGAACGGCCTAAGCTGGAAGGGACCTTAGAGATCATCTAGTCCAGCCTCCCTGTCACGGGCAGGGACGCCTCTCAACTGGATCAGGCTACTCGAGGCTCCATCCAACCTGGCCGGGAACACCTCCGGGAGGGGTCGGCCACAGCTTCTCTGGACAATTTATTCCAAAGTCTTGCCGCCCTCGCGCTCCAGAGGCTGGCCCGGAGGGGAGCTGGGGCAGCTCCTGGCTGGAGCTGGGATGCTGCTGCTGCGGTTCCTGTTTCTGTGGGGGCCAGTTCGGTCCATAACCACGGGCTGGGATGCTCTGCCTGCTTTGGTGGTGTCAGGGGGTGGCAGGGGACAACCTCAGGTCACTGCTGCTGGGACTTCTCTGAGCTGTTGTTGGACTTTGTAATTTTTTGAGTCTCTCTTGTTTTGTAAGATGAATCAATGCACCTTCTACACTTTTAGCTACAAAAAAGAATATTTTTTTTATCCATCAGTATTTCTGCTTTTGAGAGCCCCGAGTATGCTGAGGTAGGAAGATTTCCACCCCTGTACTTCCCTCTCATGTTGAGGAAGGAACTCCATTCACTTTGAGCTGTCTGTGGAAAGAAAAGCAACCTGGTTTTAATCAGGTACAGCTCATTTTAGTTTTAAATGAACTAGTAGACCTTGGGTTGCATTTCTGCTGCAGCTTGACAAAATTATAGCAGGTACTGGGGCTCTGTGCTTATTTACTTGCAAATCCTGGCGAGAGTGAACTTCATTTACGGCTTTCCTGGCAGGTCATGCTGCCGTGGTCACAGCTTCTATAACGTTTTGTCAGTATTGCTTGTAAAATTTGTCACTGAGGGAAATAATAAGCTAAAATAGTCACAGGTAACACACACACAGGCTCCTCATGCACAAATCCATCAAAGCTCTTCTCAAACCTTGCAAGCACAAAGAATTAAACTGTGTTTGTATTTCTGAAATAAAGGTGCAGTTTTGCCAGAAAGTGATATTCTTCTCTGCAGTGACAAATGGCACAAGTGAGCTGGGGGGTCGGGTCCTATTCTGTGTGTGTGTCTCACATGTCTCTTTTTTTTTTTTTTAGATGATCATGGGAACAGCAATGGCAGTCATGTAAAAATCTTTTTACCGAAGAAGCTGCTTGAATGTCTACCAAAATGTTCGAGTTTACCGAAAGAGAGGCACCGCTGGAACACTAACGAGGTAGTTAAATCTCTTATTTATTCTCTAACTTACTTGATGCTTGTGGGTTATTTTTTGAGAACATGCTATGTAAGTTACAGAGAATGAATTCCCCAGATCTGGAGCTTGTTGTTCAAATAACAACACGCTGGAAGTGAGCTTTAGACTAGAGCTGGAGGCAAGTGTGGCAACTGGCTACTAGTACAGGAGGAATCTATTGCTCGTGTGTGTGTGTCACTTGTCTTGGAGTCAAACCTTGTGTTGTCTTTTTGACACGTTTCAGAATTGTTTAAAATGAGATAGGTCTTTTGGTACCATGTTAAACAAAATGTTATCTTACTATGTGTAAGGATTTCCAAACAGAAAAACTGTGCATGGGCGTTCCTGCCTAACAGGGTCCTGAGGAATAACTAACTCCTGTCTGAGAAGTCTTGTTAAGAACATCGTTTGTAATGTCTAAACATGATAATAAAAACTGTACTCACAAGTTTAATGGCTGGAAGTGGCAACTGAGCGCAGAATCAAACGTGGATCAGTTCATGGGTGTATTTGCTGGGAGCAGAATCAAATACACATCACTTCGTGTGTGTATTTTTCAAAATTGGAGTCCTTCTCCCCTGCTCCTTCTTTTGTCTGAAAGTTGAAGTCAAGTATCTATTTTTAACTTCCTAAGTACAGGGATGGAATTAAGCAGGTCTGTTGGGCAGTTGCTGGAATTGGCTCTTTGTGTAGATGTTTTTGACTTGAGTCATTTGAATTGAAATGTAAATTGTAGAAAGGGTGGGCTACAGTTTATTCTGTGATAGTGTTTACATGACGGGGTTGGAGCATGGACCGAGAGCAGTTCCAGCGGCTCCGAAAGGGGGTGTCTTGATGAAGTTGAGAAAGCAAGCTCCCCACACAGGCAGGTGGCAGAATGATGCTCTTGTTATTTGGAAGTAGCTTCTGGGTTTTAGGTGCTTTTCTCCAGCATTTCTGGGGTGCCTAGTTTGAGCCTTGTCTGTGGGGTCCCACACGCGGCCTTTCAGCTCCTCCCTTGAGCCGTGTCTGGTGTGGTGTGGGACACGGTGTGGCAAAGTTACCCGTACCTCCCAGCGTTATTCCTCAGTAGGATACAAACAGGAAATTGTAGGTGCTCACGAGGTGTGTTGGGGTAGGAGGAAAATTTGGGCGCGCAGGCTTCCTCCTGAAGGTCGTGCCAGCATTCGGGAGCAGGGAGAGGGAGGGTTTAGGTGGCGTTTGCCGGCAGACGGCTGATGTCAGAGTGTCTCTTACCTTGATTCTAGACGGATTGTTTGTTAATAATCACGGATCATCAGCGGGTATGTTAAAAAACCAAAACCAGCCCCCTTCTGTCTTTCTGAATGTCAGATTTGTCACTGTGACTTGGGCCTCTCTCCTCCAGAACATGTTGCCGTGGCTGCGGGGCGGTGGGGCTGAGGAGCTGGTTCTCTTCGGGGTCAGTGCTGGAGCTGCCTCTGCCGGCGCGTGGGCTGAGTCGGTTGTGGTTTTTCTACTGCATTATTTAAAAGGAAGCGCTTTTCTTGTGGCCAGAGACTTTTGTCCTCGTTAACTCAGAAGGGGAAAAAAACCAAAGAGTAAGAAAAGAAAAAAGGCAGAATCTTATGCTTAGATGAAGTCTTGGAAAATCTGTGTTAATTATGGAGGAGGAGGAAGCTTAGCATACAGATTTTATTTCCCTCCCCACCCCCAACCTGGAAGTTTAATTCTGTTCGGTGTTATAAAACTTGAATCTTTATTAGTGTATAATTGAATAATAATGTTGGACTACATTTCAGAGTCATTCCTAAGGGAATATATTTTTTCATCTGGGTACACAGGTGTTCTGTCTATGCTGGTGAAGGCAGGAGTTGTGAAGTATAGAAGAAAAAGGAGTGGTTTATATAGAAGAAAAAGGAGTGGTTTATATAGTGGTACATCCAGAATCTTTGTGTGAATTTTAGAATCCCTGGTGCTGCTTGTGAGGTGTCTCATCAACAGGGAGGTTTATTAAAAGACATGAAAGAAGTAAAAAGATCTGAATATGACTAGGACATTGCTGTCCTCCCTCAGGCTTCTTTGTGTTTGGACAAACTCAGAGGTGTCTGGTCTCGCCACAGTCTTCTCTGGAGTGCGGGACGGGGATGCGGCACGGGACGGGGATGCGGCGCGGGACGGGGATGCGGCGCGGGATGCATCCTGAGGGGCCGGGACCGGCCCTCCTAACCTGCTGATGACCTGGTTACTTTGCAAAACCCTAAGCATTGGCGTTTTCTTCTGCTCCTTCATATGGGGAATGTTTCCTGGAAACTTCAGCATGGCCCTCGAGGTCTTGGCGGGTCCTCGAGGTGCAGGGCAGCCGTGCTGCAGCCTCCGGGGCCGGCCACGTGCTGTGCGGGCTCGCTCTTCTGCAAAGGGCAGGCTGCGACCCGCAGGGGTCAGGGAGCAGCTGGGGTTGGTTCCTTCCTCTGGCAGGGCATCGCCATGGGAGCACCACAAATAACTTTTTCTGGGCGCTTTCCTCTGCAGATTGAGGATAACGGTCAGGTGTTGCTCTGGCTGTGGTAATTGGGATGGAGCAACAATATCCTTTCAGAGCCGAATACGTTGTAGTTGACTTTACGCTTAGTGAAATAATGTTATGAGCAGCGAGAGAAATGGAGCATTTAAAAAGGCTTAGAACACGTTATCGAGATGTTTGCTTTCCGTCAGATTATGCAGTTTTAAGTGAAATGTGTGATGGAAATATATTTCCATATCAAGATGTCAGTCTCATCTTAAATCAATTTTATAGTGGTTTTATATTTCCTAGTGAAGGAAGCATTCCTTCTAATTCAATTTTTTTAACCAGAGATACAAAATCATAAGTTTAGCCAAGCAATTTAATTACAGAGTTACATTTTTTGAGATGCCCATCATAGTGTGTCTGTGCTTATTTCTCTTGCTCTGGGGGAGGATAGGAAGGGGATTTTCTTAGATTTCTCAGTTAGGACAAATCGGTTAATCGCCAGAAAATCCTTCAGCGCCATGTGCCTGTGAGGGGGTTCCTTGCTCTTGGGTTTTAGTTGTTTGTTCCGAGCCGTTACGGTGTTTCTGAGATGCAGATCTGCTTCCTGCCGAGCGCCTGGGCTCTCTGGGCGCAGGCGCGGAGCGGGCGGGTGCCGGGGCTCAAGGGTGTCGGGGTAACCTTGTCTCGGCGCGGCGCGTGCCAAGCGCGGGGTTGCAGCTCTGAGCGGAGATACCTTTCATTAAGGGAGTTGGCAGCCGCAGTCATTAATCATCCTTGTAAACACTTAATGACACGGCGCGAGAAAGAAGGAAAAGTTAAACATCGGAAATGTAAAATGCTACCTAGGGCTTTTGTTTCTGGCAGAATTCTGTGTTTGCGTGCCCTGCGGGGAGAAGCCCAGAGTTTGCCCAGCAGAGGAAGGCAGCGGGGGCGGCTCCCTGTGCTCGGGCTGCTCCTGAGGGGCGAGGCAGAGGCGCCCAGGTCTCCAGCGCGGTATCTGCCGTCACCTTCCTGCAGATTTCAGGCTTAGGTATTGCTTGGCAGTACGTAAATAACTGCAGTTGCAAAACTCAATTTGAGCATTATTTTGCGTAGGAAGAAACTCTTCGGCGTTGCTGTGTTGGGGCCTTGGGCTCGCGTGATCGCTGGCATCTCGGATGGTTTGCCTTTTGCTCTGCGTGCGCGATGGTGACGTTCTCCTCTTCTGCCTGACATCAGGTTACTGCCCGTCTTTTCTCTGAAGCGCAGAGATCTGGAAGGCTTGGAGAATTGCCTGAGGGACATAGGGAACCGGGACTGAGCTGGAAGTGAGTCTCAGCACCTGGGCTGGCTGTGACACTACAGAACTCTAGCGAGCAGTAGGTGAAGGTGCTGCGGTGTGTGCCACGGCTCCACCAGCCCCGGGCAGGTCGGTGTGAGGCTGCCCTCGTGGCTCCTGTGTGCCCTCAGGGTCCCTCTCCGGGTAGAGATGGCACAGTATGGCATGCTGCTGCTTGGGTTTTTTAAATACCTTTTAGAATTAGCTGTTATGTCTGAAAACTTCAAACACGTATTTGTTTTAAGGCTGCCTGGGACGATATGGTGCATTGTGATGCTTGGCTGTATTTCTGTTCCAGCTCATACCTTGTTTACCAAAGCAGCCTAACACGTTGTAAATTGGTGGGGTTGAGCGAGTGTCCTCAGCCCAGGCAGAGCGAGGAAGGGGCGTCTGTCCTGAGCACAGCCTCCCCTCTGTGAACCGCCATTGGGATGCCAAAACCCTCTGGAAAAGCAGCGGGGCTCACTGTGGTTTCCTGAGGACTGTGGAGTTACTCAGGGCATGTTGTTTAATGCTTTCCATTAAGCTCCAGTTAATTCAGGCGTGTTGTGCCTGAGCGCAGGGCTTCCCGGTGCCGGGGGCTGGCCGCCGTCGTGAGAGCACTCAAAGCTGGCACCTCCTCGCGGTCTGCATCGGCTCTCTGATCTCTCAAGAGCAATGAGAATATTTAATTTTGACTAATTGCCTGCTGCCCACGTGATCGGGGAGTATAAAATACTGTGGTGGTGTTGGCCAAGGCTATTCTTAGAAGTTTTGTCTCTTTCTGTTCCACCTGATGATCCTCTGCCGGGGAAGCTGTCACTGCCCGGTGCCGCTGCTGCCCACGGGGCATCTCCTCCGGCCACCCCTGAGCTGGCGTGAGCCTTGCCCCTTGGTTTGGGCTGAGCAGAAGGTTTTGTGACGGGAAGGAGGTGCCTAGTCTTCGAAATGTTTGCTGGGTGCCGGGACAGCCAGAGCATCTGTGAAGTCAAGGACTTGGGTGTCGATTCGTGTCCCCAGCGCGGTGGCGGTGGCCTCTGCTGCCCCCTCTATCTGGGGAAGGGGTGTCCCCCCTGTGCTGGGTGCGAGCCCACTGGACGCTCGTCCTACTGGCCCTTGGTACCGCGCTTTGCAGAGCGTGTCCGTCCTCGTGGCCGACTGCAGAAGTGCAAGAAAACCCACCTTCTTTAAAGAAGACGGCAAAGCTCTGAAAGC